CTTGTCGCAATTACATTTCTCAACATTTTTTCAGACGAGCACAGAGTTTACAACTCACTCCGATGTTGCATGGCAATGAAATACAAATGATGCTTCATAACGCCTTAATAAATTATCACTTAAACTTTTTTTTACGCGTGTTCTCATTATGCGTTTTTATGATAGCGACAATTTCGCGCGTCTCGTAATTCATTCGAGAAGATAGCGCGACACCGGCGATCGCTTTGAGCCTCGCCGCCTTAAATCTCCGCTTACGAGAGTCTCTCGCACAACGAGAGACTCGCATAATCATCGTACGTCATTGGCTTTACCGTCCCACAAACGGTGAACTTTCGCGCGACGTTCGAGTACATCTCGTGTGTCGACGCGAATAAATTTAATCAAGAGGAATGTGAGAAGAAAAAAACACGCACACACACACATATGGTACGCACACGACCAGTTCGATCGATCACACAACTTTCATTTCACCAGCCGGAAACGACGAGGAAATTGAATCCTCATTTCCTCCGCTGTGCCGCCGACACGCGTCGTAAACACCGCACTTTTTTATGCGAACGAACGTAAACGCGCTATGTGCGAACTACGTTCGTTGAGCGAGTGTGCATAGAAACTGAAAGTTTTTGAAAAAACAAAAATTATTCTTGAACAATAAAAACAAGTTAATCAAGCGCTTTGACACGCGTCGAAAAATAAATAAATTTAATAATGTCTCGCAAACAATACTTGTGTATTTCTTTCGAGACATCTGTCACAGCATCATCTTTGCGCACAGAAGCGTCTACGAAACGGAGCTCTCTTGTGAATTGCCATTAACTGTACCGTATGTGCTTATCACGTGGAAGCGGCAGATGATAACGAAAGTATGCTTCCCGGAATATCAAGAGCATGTTTTGTACGGACAGAACTTACAAAGGAGAAATCTTCAGAAGAAATGTGACGAGGGCGATAAGTACGTCGCGTTATGTTGCAGAACAGCGTGTGTCAATTAGTGTTAATCATTTTCAATCAGTGTACGCGAACAATGGAAAGGACAAAGCACTGATTTCATTTATTTTGTTCTCGATACATAGCGTTGTGGTTTATCGGCGTGTTTACTTTGCTCACACGCAGACGTCGCGTCACGAAGTCATTTACATGCGGAACAATTTTAACGTCATCGTTGATATTTGTCTATAGGCAGTATAAGGTCAATCAATAAGCGCGTCGATCGAGACGCGAGCAATTAAATCGAACGATCTTCGAATTCGTTCTTTTTAATTTCCCAAAACGCTCAATTACATCGTAATATTATTTTCAAATTAATATTTAAAAACCTCATATAAAACGTAAAAACTATCAAGTTCTCAACTTTATTCCTCCGGAAGAAATAATAATTAAGTGCCATGATTTAAATGCGTTACACGTAATTACATATCCTCGGTGCAATTTAGCGCCAAGTAATTGGAGTAATTTTCCCGCTCGAGCAGTGTGTTAATTCGATCGGCATTAAACGATACGAGGAAACTATGGCCAATATCGCCCATTCCTGATATATTTCGCCTTGAACGACGGTTCGCGACGGCTTATCGCAGTTTTGCTCGTCGAGACTTCGCGTCGTGAAATAACTTCTATATTTAGTACTCGCGTGGTCGCGCGAGGCAGGTTTCTGCGTACACGATCGACGAATTCGGGAAAGCGAAATGCGAGTCATCGAGATCGAGACCCAACGGAAACAACGTCAAGATCGTCACGACCCGATTCGGCATTTGCGTTCGCGCTTACTTGCGCACTTACGTGATGATCGTGACTAAATTCGCCTTGTAAAAGACACGATTGCACAATGAATCACGCGCATACGTGTTCCGCTGACACTTCCACATCTTATTTCGGTATCTTTCCTTATGACACACGCAGTTTTCCGAGACTTGCATTGTTGCGAACAGGCAGTTTAAGGCGCTCAAAAATCCAATAAAAAATCGGGGCTACATTTAAGTTACCTTTCAACTAATCAATTTTGTACTACTAACAGATCTCACGTGTGAATGAGATAAATCACGATGTGAATTTCAATTTCTTCCGAGATTTACACGGCAACTGACTCGTTCACGCTGAATGCAAGCGCGATTGTAATCGGTATCACGGTTTTTTTGTGAATGAGAGACTGAGATTACATGAATACTTTATACAAAACCGAGCAGATATATGAAGGAGATTAGCGCGGCTGGTGGTAATGGCATATTGTGCGGGTCTAAGAGCGCTCGTAGATATTAGGTAGCGTCGCTGAAGATGCGAGATGCGCGCTGCTCCCAATCGTATGCATGAGACCGCAACGGGTGGTCGGAATCTCAATTCCGTGCCTTCTCCGAAACAAGTTACGTTCTTCAGTTCGCGCATAATCATTGTCTCTATACATTTGTTTTATTTACAATGTCGTAGTAAATGGGTGAAAATTCATTTTGCAAACTTTTGATCCCCGCTGTGTTAACGTTTTCACTGTAAAGAAATTATGTCGCGTCCGCGATATTGATGAAATATATATCGGTGATCAACATTCTTTGAACATATGCTAACGCAGTCGACCAAGATGGAACTCGGTCATTGAAGAAGCCCGTGAAAGGACAACACCGCCCTAGTGTAGTAGATCGAATGCGCAGATTACAAAAGTATTAATCAGAGCGGCGCGGCTCTGTGACGAACCACCCACATAACGCAACGCACCGTGTCAAGTCGCGGTGATGACCTAACATCCTGCATCTCTTGTGTGGACATAGAGATTGTACCTAGTTTAAAGCCTATCGCATGTAGATACGCATCTCTGATAAAATTAGCGCTGTTATAAAAATCAAATAAAAGAGAGAGAAGAATTTATTTTTATTTCTTACAAGCGACGAGATGAATTGCAGTTTGCGCGTTTAAAGAACGCTCGTGATTTCTCGTACTGTAAATTAAGATCTTCGCGCGATATCGGACATTCGCACGTGAGCGATAAAAATCGATCGCGAGAAGCGGATATCCTTGTTATAAAAAAAAAAAAAAAAAAAAAAAAAAAAAAACAGGATCGCATTCTATTTTGGGAATTAACGATGCGAGATCGAGAGTGCTTTAATCCCCGTGAAACGGTGGATTAACGAGAGCGCGCAAACGCGAGCGTGCTCGTAAACTTGCACCCGAGCTGGCCTAAATATAAGCGTCCACGAAACCTCCCGTAAGACCTCGTGTAATCTGAACTTCCTGCGGCCTTCTTCACGTCGGCAGACTTTTTTTCCCGTTGTCAATGTGTTCGCATTGTTTGTTAAGTAACATTTGTAGGAGATATAGAAAACTCTTTCGACTTCAAGTTTATATGCGCATAAAGCGCATAGAGTTTAGAGAGTTTATTTTCTAAAAATAATAATGAATAATATCATAGCCCGCGTGAATTTTTTAAATAATATTAGTTGTTTTGTATAAAGAATATGTGCCGTGGGAATCAGACTATCCACTTCGCTGCTCGTGCAATTTACGACTAATTGTTAATCGCGCTTGCGAACCTGCGAGCAATATCCCATTGTAGTCGGTGATTTTCCTTCGGATGCGGGCCGACGCTATTACCCGCGTTTCCCTATTTCGCCGATATTATTTATAATCGTCGCCGAGACATCGGGAGCTGGAGCAGAAATATTTATTCGTGGCTCGTCGCGCGACGATCGTGAGTCACGAAATTCGAGAACACGAGCATCTCTCGTTCGCGCGCGCTCCAGATCGTGGCAAGAGAATGAAAGACAGAAAAAGAGAGAGAGAGAGAGAGAGAGAGAGAGAGAGAGAGAGAGAGAGAGACAGAATCGTGGCGCTTCTAAGGGTTGCAACCGCAGTAAAGCATTTCTGAAGCATACTTATCGGTGATGGATGGAGGATTATCGCTCGTTATTAAAATCTGAGATGAAACATGAGACTCTTATCCCGCTCGGTGATATTGTGAACGAGGGGTTCGTCTTGTCTAACTTGCGATGTGTGCGCGCGTATGTGTGACTAACAATTTATTTCATAACGAGCAATATAAGACTATTGTGGTCACTAACTAATATATTTGTCGCAAGGATGGAACGAGCGAATAACAATCCCGAGATTCTTTATCGAGAAACAAATGTTTTTTATTACAAAAAGTATTATCATGAGATTTTCTAATTTCCTTGGCGAAACTTGACTGTGAATCACGATATATATATACACACACACACATACATATGTAGTTAATTTGAGTGAAAAGTGCAATCTCCGGTGTTTCCCACTTCTCAGCAACTACCGGTGAGTCAATCATTAGGCAGTGTAATCGAGCGATGAGTCAAACACCTGGAGTTGGCCAGCTCCTTATATACACACCGAAAAAGAAATCGCCAATCTCTTCTGCGCTGTGTTTAAATTGTATACCGTTTACCAACAGCTAACAAGTAAATTTGAGTAAACCTCTTCTTAGAATTAAGATTTTGGCTCAAAAAACGTTTTCTATATTTGTATTGTAACTCAATGCAAAAATTACATTTTTTCTTACGATTTCGAAATCACTGTGTTGTGAATTTTACTCAAAATAAAAAATTAAAATTCTATTTATTGTTTTTTTAAACAATATGCACGCACATAAAATATGGCAACACGATATCTTTCTATCTTCCGTTTTCAAAATATTCGCGATGCATCTCATCGAATAGCTATTCGTCACATATTTCTTTAAAACCGATGAGTAAAATCTACTTTATGACACATTAACAATCGCTAAAACTTTCACTAATCTCATCTGTAGTCGAAGTTTATCGTAATACAATCCAGTTATTTATTCTCTAGCAACTTTCTTTTTATTGTTTCGCGTTTCTAACTGTTGCATCTTTGCTAGCGAACAGCAGCGACGAAAAAATTCGCGACGAATGCTATTTACTGTCAATTATTGACAGAACAAATTTACAGAACCTGGACACAACTTTGTTATTTTTAAATTATTTTTAAATGTTATTTATATTAAATATATTTATAAGAAGAAACCTCACCATCCGTGAGAATATTTGTCACGATACGCCGACACCGCGAAACCGAACATGGACTTCTGCTCCTTACGATAGACCGCATAGTGTTTTGTCTCGACGTTGAAGCCATCGGCGAAGTGCCAGGGTGACGAAGCGAAGAGTACAATGCCGACGAAGAGGCTCCAGAGAAGTCTTGTCAACCACATCCTGCCGGCCGGATCGAAATAGCACTGAATGCACCGTGAACACTCTGTCACCGTGTTGTGTCACTTTTATACATGAGAAACGATCGCAAAACTCGAGAAGCGCGCACGCAACTCGACGGTATCGGACTCAACGATCGCGGATCCGTATATTAACGCTGATGCGCGCGCGATCGCGGGTTTAGCCGGTAGCAGCTGCACCAGCTGACGACATGTGTCTTCCACGAGGCCCACGAGAGGCAAAATAACCGGGGCCGGCAGGAAGGAAGAGGGAAAGAGAGAACCGGAGAAGTTTGCTTGACGGGCGCCCGCAGACAGACTGAGTGGAGCTCCGTTCTTTCGGATAGTCTTCACTCACTCTCGAGGGCCACAGAGACTCCCACCCACTGCGCGCGACGTGCCGTAGTTCTAAGTGTGCGTCGCGACGACAGCTAGTCACAATTAGAGATCGTTGTCACTACTGCACACAGTGACAAATTAACAAAAATAATTCTTATTTCATTAGATGCACTGCTCTTTGAATTTTATTACAAACACGATAAAATGTCTTATTTTTTTTTTTTAATTATAAGTGCATGGACTCTACAATATCATACGATAGCATATTGAAACATATCATTGCTTTGTGAAGAAGAGCTCTATGTATATTATTTTTCAAAACGTTTAGAACGTCTGTCTCTGGCGAACTTTCAATGCAACGCGCCAATTGATAAATTTGAATGGCAAGTACACGACCCCGCTTCAACTTGGTGCGCTAGTATCGTATTAGACCGCGTTAGTTTATATAGAACAGAGAACGAAGATAAGAGTAGCCGCAGTTTAGCTATTACGCTGTTTTCGAGCTTGAATGCTACATTGGAACTACATAGTCATGTTTACGAACTTTTCAGTCGGTTACACATGGTTCTGTTCCGTGCTATACCCATATACATGTATAATATTTTTTTAATAAACTAGCACAACACAGGCGCGCGCTACGCGCACGCTATTGTTATTTTTATTTAACGTGTCGTCAGTGAACACAACCTGTCACCGCGATGACAGATAGTATATACGTCTTATAAACCACATAATATAATACACATATGAGAAATGTCAGAAATAACGCATGAAAATCAAACTAAAAAAATAGTGAGAGAGAGAAGTGGAAAAACAACACGTGACTAAAGTCACATGACAGCGAAAAGGGTAAAAAACAGAATATATATATTATATGTAATATTCTATATCTATATATAATACACACACATACACATATATGTATATATATATATATATATATATATATACCGTAATCACGTGACCGAAGTCAGTAACACCGCCGCGGCCGCGCGGCCGAGGTCAGTGACTCCACCGCAGTCGCGCGCCCGCGGTCAGTGACCCCTCCCCCACCAAGGCCGCGCTCCCGCGGTCAGTGACCCTCCCCCGCCAAGGCCGCGCGGCGAGGTGAGTGACCCCGCCAAAGTTGCGCGGCGGAGGTCAGTGACATTACTGTAGTATGTATATAACACATATAATACAATATAAAGTATAAATATATTATAAATATATAATAAATTATATGTATAATATGTATTATTTAATGTTATATATAATATAAATTACAGTCACGTTATTTTCACGTGTTGTTTTTTTACTCTTTCTTGTCACGTGACTTTAGTTACGCGTTTTTAATTTTCTCTACATATACGACGAACTGTCTCAAAAAATCGCTTTTTATTATTTACTCTCTCGATCTTACCGATTCGATTCGACTCGATCGACCAACCGATTGGCAACGCGGAAAAGAGAGAACAATAAGTGCGATTTATTCGACTTCAAACGCGCACTTCTTGGTACACATGCCTTTTTTAATATAGGACTAGCAGACAGCGCGCGCTACGCGCGCGCTTTCATTTTCTTCAAATTCAATTCAAAACATTTATTATTCCAGTTATCATTTTTTTGGTTTTTTTATAAATAAAAAAAAACATTTTTATACTGTTTATTCTCTTAATGTTATACCTATATTTCTTCTTTCTTCTTTTCTTATCTTTTATTCTAACTCATCAATTTTCTTCTCAAATAGAAGCAATTGCTTTTTCCTCCTATACTCTTATTACGTTAAACTCATCTTTTAAAAGATAAACACATCTTCTTTAAGATGATATCATCATTTTTAAGATAAAATCATCTCTTAAAAAATTAAATCTTTTTAAGATAAACTCATCTCATTTAAGAAAAACATCTACTTTACAACAAAATTATCTTGTATAAGATAAAAGCATCTTAATTAAGATAAACTCATTTTATTTAAGATAAAACCATCTACTTTATGATAATATTCTCACGTATAAGATACAAACATATTATTAAGTTAAAATCATTTTTAAAAAATAACATCTTATTACCGATAAAATCGTTTTATTTAAGATATAACATTTTACTTGAAAAGAAAATTCTTTTTTATAAGATAAAATCATCTTATGAGAAAATAATTGCATTTCTGCAAGATAAAATTATCTTATTAAAGAATAATTGCATTTTTTTGCAAGATAAAATTTTCATGTGAAAGAATATTCGCAATTTCGCAATGCGAAATCCTCATATGAGAAAAAATTCGCACTTTCGCAATGCGAAATCCTCATATAAGAAAAAATTCGCAATTTCACAATGCGAACTCCTCATATGGAGGAGAATTCGCAATTCCCTCAAATTTGCGAATTTCTCATATAAGGGAGAATTCGCAATTCCCTCAAATTCGCGATCCCCTCATATGAGGAAGAATTCGCGATCCCCTCAAATTCGCGATCCCCTCATATGAGGGAGAATTCGC